ATTTGCTTTAATAAAGTCCTGTTAAGTGAGTGTAAAATTGGTCCCTACATTAGTGGATTACAACACTAATTAAAGGTGGCTCCTTTAAGCTTAGTGCACCTACAAGAATTCCACCACTGTGTAAGAAGAAAGGTTTTCTTTGACCATTTCACACTTTGTTACAAGTAATTTTAAGGTGTGCTAATGTCCAATAAGATCTCTTCAGTGTATACCAATCTGCTCACTGAGCTGTTCTTCCACATAAAAATGATACACTAGTTGAGCCCTGGTAACAGGCTAAGTAAGCATTGCTTGTTGAACCAGCTGACTTTGCACATGGCATCCTGTTTGGTTTTTTTTTTTAAGATTTTATTTATTTGACAGAGAGAGACACAGCCAGAGAGAGAGAGAACACAAGCAGGGAGAGTGGGAGATGGAGAAGCAGGCTTCCTGCAGAGCAGGGAGCCCGATGCAGGGCTCGATCCCAGGACCCCAGGATCGTGACCTGAGCCGAAGGCAGAAACTTAATGACTGAGCCACCCAGGTGTCCCATATGGCATCCTGTCTTGATGACATGAATGGTAAAATACCAAGACCACTTTGGTGAGTAAGTAATTCCTAACAAAATTAAACTCTGGCTTTTTGAGTGTGTGTGTGGTTTTTTTTTTTAAGATTTTATTTATTTATTTGACAGAGCGAGAGAGGGAACACAAGCAGGGGGAGTGGGAGAAGGAGAGGCAGGCTTCCCGCGGAGCAGGGAGCCCGATGCGGGGCTCGATCCCAGGACCCCGGGATCATGACCTGAGCTGAAGGCAGATGCTTAATGACTGAGCCACCCAGGCACCCCTTTTTTTTCGTTTTTTAAGTAGGCTCCATGCCCAGCGTGGAGCCCAACACGGGGCTTGTACTCATGACCCTGAGATCAAGACCTGAGCTGATATCAAGAGTCAGATGCTTAACAAATTGAGCCACCCAGGTGCCCCTTGAGGATCTTTTTTTGTTTTGTTCTCCTTTTTGAACAGAGAATCTTTTATATATTTATATATTTTAGGGGGGTTGGTGGTGATAGATGTTACCACCCCTGGAACTGGTGACGGGCTCAACCTGCTTCTCTCCCCTGTGCAACAACACCTCCTTGTAAAGAATCATAATCATTTTCATGGAAGTTTAAGTTCTATTGGCCGGTACAACCTTAGTAGATGGAGAATATAATTTTTAAAGAATGAATAAATTTCACTTCCTCTTCAAAAAACTGTAAACAGGAGCCAGCCCTTGAGGGGCCGTTAGCTGGCTCAGTCGGCAGAGCATGTGACTCTTGATCTTGGGGTTGTAAGTTTGAGCCCCACGTCGGGTGTAGAGATTACTTACAAACAACAACAACAACAAAAACGCCAGCCCTGGGCGCCTGGGTGGCTCAGTTGGTTAAGCGACTGCCTTCGGCTCAGGTCATGATCCTGGAGTCCCGGGATCGAGTCCCGCATTGGGCTCCCTGCTCGGCGGGGAGTCTGCTTCTCCCTCTAACCCTCCCCCGTCTCATGTGCTCTCTCTCTCTCATTCTCACTCTCTCAAAAATAAATAAATAAATCTTAAAAAACAAAACAAAAACAAAAACGCCAGCCCTTGAGAGTGGCGTAAAGCTCAGGCTGGCTTTCAGTTATACACAACGATAAACTCTGAAAAGGGAGAAAGGTTTGAAAATTATCTCCCTCCTAATTGCATTCCCCACGTTGAACTCTGAAGACTGTAGCTGTCTGCTTCTAGAAGAGAGCCATGGAAGGGGGGGATGGTGCCCAAGCCGGGCCATAGCTGCAGGGTGCTCTGGTATCATGGCTCTACCCCAAGACACTAAAGCCAGTCCACTGGGGCTCATAACCTGCGTGGGCCACTTACGGAATGTGTGACCTTGGAAAAGTTACTTAACCTTCCTGTGCTTCATTCATTCAGCAGCTACTTATTAAGCAGCTACTCTGTGCCAGGTACTGGACTAAGTGCTGGGGATAGAAGAGTGAACCAAACAGACAAAAAAGTCCCTGTTCTTTTTGTGGTGGGAGATATGTCTATGGGGGAGGGGGGCACCGGGAATCATGTCTTTCAGGAGCTGGGTGCTGGCAACTCAGGTGTTAGAGTTTGTAAAACACCAGTGAGCTGTCCACTTAGGTATGCTTTCCTGTATGTGTGTTTTACTTCAGTAGTTTTTAGGAATCCCCGGGCTTGAGGCCATAGCTGTGGTCAATCAGTATGTAAAGCACGGTGAGCTGGGCTTGTCACAGTCAGCACTCAAACTAGTGGCTGTGGGGCGCGTGGGTGGCTCAGTTATTAAGCATCTGCCTTCAGCTCAGGTCATGGTCCCAGGGTCCTGGGATCGAGCCCCGCATCGGGCTCACTGCTCCGCGGGAAGCCTGCTTCTCCCTCTCCCACTCCCACTGCTTGTGTTCCCTCTCTTGCTGTGTCTCTCTCTCAAATAAATAAATAAAATCTTGGAAAAAAATAAAATAAAAAACAAAAACTAGCGGCTGCTGTTATTGCCAAGAAACTTACTAGAGCCATCAGGGGATGCTCAAGAGGGATTCGGTGGCCTCTGCCGTGAGGGCCAGCCCATGGGGCCCTCCTCTAAACCAGTTAGGTGCAGACCGTGCATCTGTCGCAAAAAACAGGCTTTAAGACAAAAAAAAAAAAAAAAAAAAAACAAGAAAAGGCATTTTGCTCTCACTCGTGAACTGAAGGGCTGCAAGGCCACTGGGGACACATGGCCGGCCGTGTGCTGAGCCAAGGTTCTGGATCTGGGAACAGCATTCAGGAACTGGGAAATAGAGGAGACCGCTTTCTAGAAATTGCCCTTTAAAATGAATACAGAGGAGTGCCTGGGTGGCTCAGTCGGTTAAGCTTTCCACTCGGGTCACGATCTCGGGGTTGTGGGATCAAGCCCCAGGTTGGGCTCCACGCTGGGTGTGGAGCCTGCTTAAGATTCTCTCTCTCCCCCTCTCCCCTCCCCACCCTCTCTAAAAATAACATAAAAAATAAATAAAATGAATACAGAGTCCCTGTGCAGCCACCCCTGAGACTAGAGCCCCAACCCCTGAGATTTCACTATCAGGGCCTGTGTAAGAAACTGGCTTTCTGGTTGGTCCATCAGCCTTTGTGGTTCTGGACGATGGAAGTTCCTGGCAGAGACAGATCCTCTCTGGAGTTCTGACTAGTTGTGTCTCTGAGGACAAGACTGTGGCATTGACTTCATGGAGGTCCTGTCCCCTCTTAGCACAACACCCTGTTTCTCCTGCTGTAGTGGGCTCCAGCTGGCCTCGTCTTAAGGACCATGAGAGCTTTGTTAAACAAGCAGACTCCTAGGTCCCTAAGCCAGCAAATCTGAGGTGGGCCCAGACATCTAACAGGCATTCCATATGACACTCACGTTCAAGTGAGTTTAAGAAACCCTGTTCTAACAGGATTTCTACTAAAGGGACTAAAATCTGGTTAACTCAAGCTCAGCCAGTCCCCTTACCTTATGGAGAGAAGGGGTGTGGGCAAGTGGGAGGTGATATTCAGGTGCAGGAAGGCCTGTATGTGTGGTGGGGAGAAGAAAAGAAAAACCTGGGAAGATGGATCTTGCCTCTGGCTCTTCTAGGCTGGGCTGGGGCAGGGGTGAGGTGGGGGGGAAGCTGCCCGCTGGGCTAGGTGGGTGGAGTGCTAGTGCATGCGCAACACACCTGGCCCTCGTGGGGGGTAGGGGGAGGAAGGGGCTATTCACGCAGCAGCCACAGGTCAAAGAGCAAAGCAGTCACAGTGCTGTCCGCCCTCTGGTCTGGGACGGGGCCTGGATTGGGCCACTGGGCCCACACCCCAGCAAAGGGATAGGTCTTTGTCCCATCCTACCTGAAGGACCAATGAAGCTCTGGGGACAGACGTAAGCCAGGCACTGAAGTACTCTGGGTCAGTGACAGAATGGGGTTATCAGAGAATAGCCGTGAAATCCTAGACAGTCCAGGGGGCTGCAAATGGTTCCCCAGCCCTGAGCTCCAGCCCCCAGAGCCCAGGGCGGGACCTGAGTCTCGGCTGGAATCTCACGGCCCACAGGGCCTTCAACAGGGGGCAGCACCAGTCCTAGAGATGGGTGGGGGCAGGGGGACTAAACCGAACAAGTATCATCCTCCAAGGACCTTTTGGAAGTCTCACCAACCGGAGGAAAAAAGCTTTCGGTTTGCTCCACCCTCTCTGGCCTTGGCTGTCCCACCTCAGGGGAGAAGGCCTGAGCCCAGGCTGCAAGGGGGCCCCTCACCCTCAGTTAGTTCGGACCCTGGAGCTGGGGTCTGGGGCGCTCCAGCATTGCATCCCCGCCCGGCCCACCAGGCCCAGGTCAGGAGCACTAAGGGGTCTGTGAGGCTGGGGGGGGGGCCTGGCACTGGCAGGACCTCCGGCCAGTGTCTCCTTCCGAGAAGCCATAGCTGCTTCCTCCTTTACTTGTAAAAGAGGTTTGCTGGTAGGGGTGGAGTTATGGCTAAGAAACCAAACCAATTCAGTGTGGATAACGCTGCCAGTGCCAGGTGTCGGGGAAAGAAGGTGGCAGCCATGGGGTGGTGGAAACACAACGGACCCAGAGTCTGAATCCAGAGTCTGAGTGCCCCTGGACACTTACTAACAGCAGGACTTCGGCTGTGTCACTTCATTTGAGCCTCAGTTTTGTCTTCTACAAAATGAGGCTAATGGCACCCCCACGGGAGTCGTAAGGGTTCGAGTTAAAGCACCGCGAGTGTGTGCAGTTGTCATTACTACTGCTACTGAGCACCCTGATCCCTGCCCTCGGGACAGAGTGGGGAGGTGCCTGGGCCTCCCACAACTTCTCCCTAGAGGCCACGCTTCCTGTTCGTCCCCTGCTCCCAGAGAATGTGGTGTAACTGGCTGTTGGGGGGGTGGGGTGTCCTCCCCTCCGGGCACGACAATTAGAAAGAGCACAGCAGTAATTTGTGGTCATCAGGGAACAAGGTTCAAGACCAACAAGTAGGGCAGATGGAGATGGGAAGGAGGGGTAGAATCAGGTGAGTTCATCAGTAAACAGTTTACACAACAAATGGGAAGGCCTTCGGGGAGAGAAGAGAGAATAGAGGGCAGCCAGGTGCCCAGGGCACAAGTGAGGCCCCTCCTGGCCTGGGGAGCTCAGGGAGTCCAAAGGCAGCTGAGGGGCAGGGTCTCACCCCAAAACAACCCAGGCCCGCCCTGCACCTGCCGTTCCCCAGAGCCGGCAGGCCAGCCTCAGTAATGGGAGGATGGGAGCTGCCTCTTCATCCTCGGCCCCCAAGGCTGGAAGGTGAGGGGCAAGGAAGAGCAACAGGGGCTCCAGGCCTCCTGAGGAGCTGGAGGGGACTCAAAAATTGGAACAAAAAAGGCCAAAAGGTTTTTACTCTGTGAGCCCTAGGGAGGGCCGGGCAGAGTGCCAGGTGTCCACAGGAGGGGGTAAGCGGGGGTGGGATGGCCTGTAGTCTTGCTTCCCCGCTGGGGAGGAGTGAGGGGAGGTGAAGGCCGGGGTGCCCTCCCCATGGGCCCCACACCTGCCCCTGCTGAGTTCACACCAGAGTCCTCAGCAGGCGGGAAATCGCACGGCCCGCCGGAAGCCGGGGTCAGGAGAGCCGCTGGGCGGAGGCAGGAGGCGAGGTGTTCCCCGCACTGTGCCTCTCCTGCTGGCAAGCCGGCAGGGCGCACCTGGAGCGGGACAGCTGTCTGCCGGCCAGAGCGGGGTCCCAGATTCCTCAGCTTCAGGTCAGGGGTCTCGGTACAGGGAGCACTGGGTTAGCCTCAAAGCTCATCCGGGGGGCTGTGTGTGAGAGGGGATGCCTTCTGGATGCCCTCATCCTCATCGGGGCTGGGGTCTTCCTCCAGGCCACCTAGCTCCTTCCTCTGTTTGCTGCCGCCGCCTGATGCCTTGACCCTGCTGCTCTTCTTTTTAGACTTCTTCCCTCCCAGGGCAGCTGTGTCCCCCTTCTTGCCGGACCACTGCTCTGCCAGGCAACCTGGGGTGAGGAGAGACACCCGCAACGGACTGGTTTGCTGGGGGCAGAGCACTGACGGGGCGGGGTGGGGGGGGAGCGGAAGCGACAACTGGAACTGGTGCCCCATGAATCCCTGCCTCCTGCCTCACTGTGGTTCCCTTCGTGTGATTCTGCACCTGGTTTCAGTACCTCTTACCGTACCACCCTGTCCCCTCAAGCTCCCCAGGGGCAGAGCTGCTAGGACGCCTTCTATTTCTTATTTCTCTTCCATCCTCTCCCAACCCACCTCCCCTGAGGGGGAGCGAGTGGTAAAACGGAGGGCCCACCCACCCTGCCTCTCCCTCCCTCCCACTCACTGGTGTCCTTGCCCTTCAGCACGTGATTGGCGCAGAGGAACTGAGTCAGGTCTTCCTCCTGGTGGTGCCGGTACCAGTCCTCGATCACCTCCTCAAACTCTTCCACCAGCACGTCGCACTATGAATCACAACACGGCGCGTTGGCAAAGCCCCAGCACTGACTCGCTCCCGGGGGGGGGGGGGGGGGCGCTCAGCCGAGTCTCACAACCCACTGCAGGACAGGCAGGTGGCTGTGATTCCCCTGAGGAAACTGAAGCCAGAGAGGTGAGACGACTTGACCAGAGCTCCCTCCCTCCCCCAGCTCTTGGTGGCCTTCCTCAGCCATACACCCGGTCCCCAGCCACCCTGGTGAGGCAGGGTAGCCTCTGAGGGCCGAGAGGCCCGTACCTGCTTCTTGAGGTCAGCCACCTCTGCAGAGGTCTCGTTCCACAGCTCATAGGGGATATCCATCACCACCTTGACCCCTTTGTGGACCAGGTTGTGCAGTGTCTCAAAGGTCTCCGACATGCCCTGGAAGAGGCAGCAGGGCCTGAGAGGCTGAGAGCGTTCACCAGTTCCCACCCTCCTTTCTGGGTGGCGCTGGAGGCTGGAGGACCCAGCGCTGAGGAGTCAGGACCCTCCAAGGCTTCTCACACTTGACCTCACCTTCCTCTCCCCTTTCAGGCCTGCCCCCCCACAACCCCTACACACACACCCTATCATGTCTCCCCACACCTCAACCTTTCAAAAAGGATTGCTGTTTGCCCTCAGGCCCTTTGAATGGAAACTCCTTTTCCAGGAATTAAGTGTGTCTTGGCTCTTTCCCCTCACTGTGGCCGGGAACACGTGCTCCCCCATGTCTAGACCCACGCCCCACTCCGGCTTCTTCCTGGGGCTTGTGTCTTTCCTGGGTCAGAAGAGAGCACAGGCGAGGCGGGGAGAGCTCTTGGTTCTGTAAAAATATTTCTGCCAGCTCCCTAGGTCTTCTCCCTGGAGAGTCCATCTACACACTGTCCATTTCCTCTTTCTTTCCAGAGGTGATGCAGGCAAATACAAGCAAATATACATGCAAATATATCCTCCTCTCTTGCCCCCACTTCTTACACAAGTGGTAGTATATATCAGCCACACTATTCTGCCCTTTGACTTTTTTACTGAATAACAGAACTTGGAGACAATTTGAATTCAATTCATAAAGAGCTACTTCATTCTTTGTTTTGTCCACCGAATGGCCGTATCAATTTATTTAACCACTGGTGAATGATTAGGTTGTTTCTAATTTTACTGCTATGGAAAATAGTTTTAAACATTTTTATATTAAAGCAAAACATGGGTTTATTACTGAGTAGAATACAAAATTCATACAAATTTTATTTTGATTTTTAAAGATTTTATTTACTTATCAGAGAGAGAAAGAGCACAAGCAGGGGGAGCGGCTGACAGAGGGAGAGGCAGGCTCCTGGCTGAGCAGGGAGCCCGAAGCAGGGCTCGATCCCAGGACCCTGGGATCATGACCTGAGCTGAAGGCAGACACTTAACTGACTGAGCTACCCAGGCGCCCCTTTATTTTTTTATTTTTTAAAGAGGCTCCACTCCCAGCATGGAGCCCAATGCAGGGCTTGAGCTCATAACCCTGAGATCAAGATCTGAGCTGAGATCAAGAGTCAGATGCTTGGGGCAACTGGGTGGCACAGTCAGTTGGGAGTCTGACGCTTAAGTTTCAGCTCGGGTCGTGATCTCAGGGTTGTGAGATTGAGCTCTGCATGGAGCCCCCCATCAGGCTCTGCACCCAGCACAGAGTCTGCTTGAGACTCTCCCTCTCCCTCCCCCCAGCGCACACATGCTCACGTGCGCTCGCACTCTCTCTCTCTCTAATGAATAAATCTTTAAAAAAAAAAGAGAGTCAGCCGCTTAACCAGCTGAGCCACCCAGGCGCCCCTAAATTTTAAATCTAAGACTTCTGCTGTTTAAGACTATCCCTCTAAAGGGCACCTGGGTGGCTCAGTCATTAGCATCTGCCTTCGGCTCAGGTCATGATCCCAGGGTCCTGGGATCGAGCCCCACATCGGGCTCCCTGCTCAGTGGGGAGTCTGCTTCTCCCTCTCCCACTCCCCCTGCTTGTGTTCCCTCTCTCACTGTGACTTTCTCTGTCAAATAAATGAATAAAATCTTAAAAAAAAAAAAAAAGACTATCCCTCTAGGTTCCCCAGGGGTTTCTGACTAATCAATCCACTAGAAGGGTACTTAGGTGGAGAAATATGGGAGGCAAGTCTCTTACCATATGTGCCAGGCACTGAAGATGTTGAAGCAAAGAACTGTGGGCCTGCAGTAAGAAGCTCATTCTTCAGGGACAGAGGCATTTGTGCACATAGTAAGTGCATTAAATATCACACAGGCACCCTGACAGAGGTCCAGATGAGTGTCCTGTGGGCCCAGAGGGACTAGGTAATCACCCCACCCTGCTGTGTCTTCTGACATCTCCTCTAAACCCCACAGTTCTGCACTTCCTGAGCTCTCCCTGAGCCAGTGTTCAGGCCTCCACAGGGGCATTTCGGGCTGAGGCTGAGGCAGGGCCCTGATGGCCCCGGTCACTAAGAATGTGCCTACTGGGGCGCCTGGGTGGTTTAGTCGTTAAGCATCTGCCTTTGGCTCAGGTCATGATCCCAGGGTCCTAGGATCGAGCCCCATCAGGCTCCCTGCTCAGCAGGAGGCCTGCTTCTCCCTCTCCCACTCCCTCTGCTTGTGTTCTCTCTGTCAAATAAATAAATAAATAAATCTTAAAAAAAAAAAAAGAATGTGCCTACTGCCCCTGAAGAGTCAGGGCACTCAGGATGTGAGAAATGCAAACCGTAATCGATGAAGAATGGGCAGAGGCCAAGGATGGAAGCTCCCCAAACATGATCTTCAAGTCACACCCACACCAGCAGACCACTTAGATACAGGCAGGCCTTGCCCCATGGGGATGAAGGACAAGCGCAAATCCAACCTTGGCAAACCGGTTGCTGCCGGTCCTCTCCTTGTGCAGGCTATAGTCCAGGAGCCTCTTGCAGATGGTCTCAGTGACTTCGATTAACCGCAAGTCCCTGTAGAGACAGCATCACGAGAGGGACTGAGCTCCTCTCCCAGCCCCAATGGGTTAGCGGTCCGTCCCTCCAGCCCTGCTACCCCAACACCTGCGCATCTCACCAAAGGGAAGTCAGAGCTGGAAGGAAGATAGGTCATCTGGTCTGGGGGCTCTGAAATGCTGGAACACAGACCAGAGAGACAAAATGTAACAGCTCTATGGGAAGGCATCTTTTATAAAGCTAAATGATTCAGTATTTAGATGTTTTCCAAAGGCAAAATGTATTAAATTTTGATATCAAAGTGTTTCATTTTGAAAGGATGATCATGGCTGATGAAGGGTTTTTTTGGCTTGCTTTTAATATTTATCCCTGATAAAATTAAAAGCAGGTAATCCTATGTCATCTATTTAAAAAAAAAAAAATTGCATTGGCCCATGAAATCCAAGAGTCTGGGATGAGATACGGTTGAACGGTCTTGCTTTGACAGGTAAGTCTGAGGCTCAGTGGAATGAAGGGATTTATGAAGACCACACAATTAGTTGGGGCAAAACCAGTGGGCAAACTCAGGTGTTGGTGAGAACTGCCTCCCTTTGGTGGGTTTGCCTAGCTGGAAGGGAGAGGGAACCCCACGCCTCCGAAGCCTCTAGGAACAAAGCAGGCCAGTGGGTAACCCCCTCCACTTACGACTTGGCGTACTTGACTCCGGAAGCCTTCCGATCCAGGACGCCGTAGCCTGTGTCAATCACCTCTTTGGTCCTGCCAGTCTCCTCAAAAGCTGACTTCAGCTCCACGGCGACGTATTTACACACTGGGGGCAGGAGACACGGCACAGCCTACTGAGCGCATGTGAGTCTGACAGGAAGGCGCCAGCTCTGAGCCAAATGCACCAAGGTAGGTGCCTCTCCCAGACTGGGTCAACACTCAGGGCGGGGAAGGAGTTAGCCCCAGACCACCACATGGAGATCACTGGGTGAAACTTGGCTCCAAGAGTCACTGCCCCCTGTCCAGTCCTGGCCCTTATCCTACTGACTCCATTTCTCCCAGCTCCCTCCTGCCCCCCCCGCCACCGCCCCTGTAATCATTTTTAAAATTTCAAACATACAGGGCGCCTGGGTGGCTCAGTCGTTAAGCAGCTGCCTTCGGCTCAGGTCATGATCCCAGGGTCCTGGGATCGAGCCCCACATTGGGCTCCCTGCTTAGTGGGAGGCCTGCTTCTCCCTCTCCCACTCCCCCTGCTTGTGTTCTCTCTCTCACTGTGTCTCTCTCTGTCTGTCAAATAAATAAAATTAAAAAAAAATAGTTTAAAAATTTCAAACATACAGAAAAGCTGAATGAGGGCGCCTGGGTGGCTCAGTCATTAAGCGTCTGCCTTCAGCTCAGGTCATGATCCCAGGGTCCTGGGATCCAGCCCCACATCGGGCTCCCTGCTCTGCAGGAAGCCTGCCTTTCCCTCTCCCACTGCCCCTGCTTGTGTTCATGCCCCCTCTCTCTCTGTGTTAAATAAATAAAATCTTTAGGGGCACCTGGGTGGCTCAGTTGGTTAAGCGACTGCCTTCGGCTCAGGTCATGATCCTGGAGTCCCGGGATCGAGTCCCACATGGGGCTCCCTGCTCAGCAGGGAGTCTGCTTCTCCCTCTGACCCTCTTCCCTCTCGTGCTCTCTATCTCTCATTCTCCCTCTCTCAAATAAATAAATAAAATCTTTAAAAAAAAATAAAGAAAATCTTTAAAAAAAAAAAAAGAAAAGCTGAATGAGTACAACGAGTAACTATACAGCTTCCACTCATTTCAACAGTTTGTTAACGATCTGCCACAATCTCTCTCCAGTATAATAATATAAAATAATAGCATAATACAGTAATATATCTCAACAATATATACATTGTTTTTGCTAAACCATTTTGAAAGTAAGTTGCAGACATCATGATCTTTCACCCCTCAAAAGGTCCTCATGCATCTCTGAGAGCAAGGACTTTCTTCTACCAACCATAAAACCATACCGATCCTTGGAAAATGAACAATAATTCCAATATCACCTAGTACGCAGTCCATATTCAAATTTTCCCAGTTGTCCCCAAAGGTCTTGTCTGCCTGTTTTATGATCTGATTTCATATGCTGTTCCAACACCAGCTCTCTGCTCCTACCAAGGTTATCGGCTCCATCCCCTCCAGAGGCCCTTGTTCCTACCGGCTCTGTACATTCATCCTCTTGTTTTCTCTTACTCTTCCTCAAACAGTTACTAAGCAATCCTGTGTGCCAGGCACTGTCTGGGGATTCACAGCTGAAAACAGATTCCTCTGTTCTACATCCAGCCCAATGGAGTAATCGCCGCTGTGTAAGGAGTGTTGACACAGAAAGTGTGACCTATCCGAGGCCCTGGGAGAGCGCTTAATGCCTTCTATGGGCTTTTCTACCCATTCTCCCAACCTCACTTTATCATTATTATTATTTTCTAAAGATTTTATTTATTTGAGAGAGAGCGAGAGACAGAGAGACAGAACATGTGCAGGGGGACGGGCAGAGGGAGAGGCAGAGAATCTCAAGCAGACTCCCTGCTGAGGTGGGAGGCTGACATGGGGCCGATCCCAGGACCCTGAGATCATGACCCGAGCTAAAGACAGACGCTCAACCAACTGAGCCACCCAGGTGCCCCACAACCTCACTTTAAAAGCCTCCTCCTCCTGGAAAGCTCTTCTGGACCTATCCCACCTGCTCTGATTTCATCTGGGTCTCTACAGGATCCATGTTCGAAGAGCCTTTGGTCACTTTGTGTCTCCCCCACTATAACTATAACAATACCCAAAGTGAGTATCATGTATTGGACTTTTTCCGTATTCCTCTAGTCTGGGATTCTGTCTGTGTTGGATACTTAATAAATACTGCTGAGAGACTGTGTTTGTGATAGAGCAGCTTCTGATGCCTCTGAATGAGTATGATCTGTAGGCCAAATGCCATTAGTATTATTGTAACACTGACAGCAGAGTTTAGGAGACCAATTCACCACAAAACAAAAACAAAAACAACAACAAAAAACCATCCCCTGAAGGCTTGCTTGGTAAAATTTTATAACATACATATTTAATAGATGGCTTGGAGAACTTGGAATACATCAAAATTCCAAAATATAAGCTGTGATCTCAGAGTCTGCAATGAATTGAGGCGGCTCACCTCCCTGGCTCTCTAGCCAGGAACACCTGTCCCCCTCCCCCTCTCTGTTCTACATTCTGTGTGAGCTCATCATTTTTCTGGCTCTTTTGCCCCCTTCTCCCACGCCCTCAATGTGTAGGATTCCAGGCCCTGGGGAGCTGAAACCTTTCTCTCTTGTGCCCATCAATCACAACCTTGCTTCCCAACTCTTCCAAACCTTACCTCTTCAAGACCCCCTCTGGGGATCCCACCCAGAACTAGACTTGTAGGAGACTCATGGCACAGACCCCAGACTCTCATGGACACCCACCTACTCTTTTTCCAGGCAGGTCCCCCTTCCTCTGTGCCAAGGCCTATTCCACTCAGGCCATGGAGCCAGGAGGCAGGCTTTGTGGGCCATACACAGTCAGCATTTAATAACAAAGGTGCAACAATGATAAATAAAAGCAAAACACTATTAAGAGGAGCCTAAGAGTTTACCAAGCCATCCTGTAACTGAAAATCCCTTTTAAATGCCTCCTAAGGGAAAGAAATGTGAGGTTCTCAGGCTATGAGAATAGTCCCTTCTTAGGGGCTAGGATAGAAAACAAAGAGAGGAAGTGAAACCCCCAAACCATACCATATAGGTTCGGACTAGAGCAAGAGTGAAAGGAAAGCATCCCAACTCTCTGCCTGCCTATTTATGGGAGTGAGGGACAAGGTACAGGCTAGAACCCATACTGAGAGCCCTCCCAGTGAAGTCGGCTCATCTCTGAAGCATCTCATCTTTCATCTCTCAAATGAAAGGATTATGTGTCCCAATCCGCCCACCCCCACTCCCCAGCGCTTAGGGAACATCTGGCCTGCTGTATGCTTTGAATGGGGAGGAAATGGATTTACAGCCAACTTTTGGAGGGGTTTGGGCTTACGGAGATGGCAAGGAGGGAGTGATTGCAAAGGTCTGGGGAGAAAAAAGAAATAGTGGGGGTGAGGGTGGAGAAAAGGTAGGCCCTTCATAGTCCTGAATCACTGGCTTGGGGGTGCTGGTGCTCTTTCTCTCAAGTTTTACATTTCCATCCCTATATCTTTGGGATTCACTTTCTCCTTATTCCTAAAGTCTTCCTCCCTCACCAAATTCTCCCAGGCCAGATCTACTCTTGTCCCAAAGTGGCCCTCTATTCTTCTCCCCATAGGCCTCAGACCCTTCTCCTTCCTCCACACGCACCCAAAGCCCCCATTCACTGGGTGCCCACCAGGCACTGTGTGAATAAATATCTGAGACAAGGTCCCTGTCCTCAAGGAGTTTAACCCTAGTGGGGAAGTCTATCAATTACACAGATCAGCTTGTGGTGAGGGCACAAAGGGGAGAGTCTCAGGCTTTCCCACCCTAAGGACAGTCATAAGGACCTTTTCAGTTCCTCAAACTTGTCCTTTGCTTCTTAGCCTCTGCATCTGCGGTTTCCTGAGAGACTCTCTCTTTTCACGTCTCTTCGCCCAGCTAACTCCTAATTACTGCTTGGGCTTCCTATACGAATTCCTGACTTCCCTCTCCACACAGCCTTTCCCCCTCATCTCTAGGCTAAATTAGATGCTCCTTCCCCGGCCCGCAAAGCCGGTACCTACTCTATCATGGCATCTACCACCCTGGATTATAACTGCTTCTTTTGTACCGACTTGAGAGCTCCGGTGCACCGAGACCTGATCTCTTGCCCGCCCCTGTGTCCCCAGCGTCCAGCACAGTGCCAGGCACACAGTAGCTTCAATGAATGAAGAGGTTCTAGCTCAGGTGCCAAGGACTTTCCATTCCCCGCCCCTACCCCGCACGCCCCGCCCCTCTGGCAGGATACTCCCCGCGGGCCCCGCCCCCTCACCTTCGCATTTGCTGGGGAGTCGAACCCAGTCAGTCTCCTCTGCGTGCGCCTGGCCGGGGCCCAGCTCTGGGGCCGGCAGTAGCAGCAGCAGCAACAGTAGCAGGGAGAGAAGCAGAAGACAGCGGGGCCCAGGCCGGGGCGCGGGCTCAGGCAACGGATCCATGGCCCAGCCGGACCCGACCCCAACGGACCCGGCGGCGATTCCTCCGGTTGCGCGCGCTGGGCAGTTTCCCGGAGCCGCTTCCGGGACTGCACACGTGCCTCGGCGTAACCAGGGCAACAGGGAGCCCCCCGCCCGCTCCCTCCTCCGGCCACCTCGGCCCGCCCCCAGAGCTCACGAAGGCCCGCGGACAACGCAGCCAATGGGCTTTCCGGGGCTTGCCCTCCAGCGAATGGGAGGGCGATCTTTTCTCAGTCTTGACCAATGAGAGCGCGGATGGTGTCCTCAGTGACCTATGGCAGCATCTTTCCCCACCCACTAACGGAGGCTCTGGGAGGGTCTGGAGGACCAGGACGCAGAGCGTGGAAGCGGCGGGCTGGGCCTGAATGGGAGGAGGTCGGGCTTGTGGGTCCTGGTAGAGGTGCGGAAGGCCGTCTTCTCGGCCTTCTCCGCCTCCTTGCACATCACTTCCCTGCTGGGGTCGTAATGCAGCAAACCCTTATTGAGCACCTGTTTTTAAATTTTGTTATTATTATCGTTGTTATTGTTTAATTGCTAATCACTAGTAGGCGCTGTGGGTGAGACCTTGGCGACTCAAACAGTCCCCAGCCTTTCAAACAACTTTCTTAGTGCCAAGTAATCCTGGATTGGGCCCCTGAGAACCAGAACAAATCACCTCCTCTCTGAGCCTCGGTTTTTCTTTTTCTTTCTTTCTTTCTTTCTTTCTTTCTTTCTTTCTTTCTTTCTTTCTTTCTTTCTTTCTTTCTTTCTTTCTTTCCTTCTTTCCTTCTTTCCTTCTTTCCTTCCTTCCTTCCTTCCTTCCTTCCTTCCTTCCTTCCTTCCTTCCTTTCCTTCCTTCCTTCCTTCCTTCCTTTCCTTCCTTCCTCTTTTCTGCCCTATTACTGATTTCTTTGGATTCTGAGCTCCCGCAAAGCAGGGATTTGGCTATGAAAGATTGTAACTCCCTTCCACCTCCCCAGCAATAACAGGGTGCCTGGTACAAGGAGATGATCAATGGGGCCCCCATCTGCTGTGTCATCAAGAGGAGGACTTTCTGGGTCTTCGGGGCTGCTTCAGACTACCCCTGAGCTCAGTGTCCTATGGACACACACACCCCAAGTTTGCTTTTCTGGGAAGTTGTCTGCACTTTTGTCCACAAGGCCCTGTTCCCCAGTGCCTTATGTTTCCTTCCTGGAGGTTGGATATTTACGCTATTTTATGAAGACTTCGGAGGACTGATGCTCAGACTTTTGACTTATTTCTTGATCTTAGCTTCTTGCTCAAAACAATTGTGCCAATGACAAGGCACTTTGGATACGCAGGGGCTGTGGTATGTAGAATTCTATAGCGCACAGGATCAGGACACCCTTCTGAGGGCCTCCCTCTTCTCTAGGCTTCATAAGACTTGGGGAGACTCAGAGCCTGGCCAAAGCCCTTGATTTACCCAGGCCCAGGAATCCTCCTGGGAGATAACTTTAAGCCAGCCACAGTAGGGACTGAGCCTGGGGCAGGGCAGGATTGGGGAATTGGAGCATGAGGAGGAGGGATGTTGAAGCTAAAGGAAACTCTGCTTCCAGAATGACTAAAAGGACCTCTGAGAGGACATTTACTGAGGCACAAATTAGTGTCACAGGAGCTCTGGACTCAGCATCTGGGCTGAGGGCTGGGAAGAGACAGTGGCCAGAGAAAATCTGAGGTTATGGCTGGACATGCCCGCACCCCATCCCAGCCTATCCTTCCCTCAGTCTGTGTGCTGGGGAAGGAGCAGCCCATGTGGGGATGGTGGTCCGATTCATCCCCAGGAGTTGTGGGATGCGCCTCTTTGAAGAATCTAAAAAGAGGCAGGAGCATCTCCTGATCGGCTAGTGAGAGATGGCCGTGGAGAAGACAGGGAGGGTTTTCATGGAACAGCAGCTGAGAGGGCACAGAGGCTCAGGGCAGCTGGAGATGGCATTGCCACCATGAGCGGCTGGAATGTTAGAGCATAGAGCATAGTTCGCTAACACCACCTTGGGGGAAGGAGACGAAGGCAGCACCACTGGTCCAGCAGACTGTCCTGTGCTGCCCAGGGGACCCCTGGATTCACATGAAAGCACCTGAGATTCCTGGGGGTTGATTACTGGAGAGAGGAACCCCTGGAAAGGCTGGATCTCCTGCCAGTGCTGGAGAAACGGGCCACACACTCTACTGTGGGGGACTTGTATATTATCAGCTCAAGAGCTCTCTTTAGGAAACAAAAGAGGGGCGCCTGGGTGGCTCAGTCGGTTAAGCGTCTGCCTTCAGCTCAGGTCATGATCCGAGGGTCCTGGGTCGAGCCCAGGAGACACATCAGACTCCCTGCTCCACGGGAAGCCTGCTTCTCCCTCTCCCTCTGCCTGCTGCTCCCCCTGCTTGTGTGCTCTCTCTCTGTCAAATAAATAAAATCTTAAAAAAAAAAAAAAAAAGAAACAAAAAATCTCTTTAGTGCCTGGCTCAGGGTTGATGCTCAATGAATATTTGTTAAATGAATAACGACCCCTAATTGATTAATAAGGTGTTAAGTTTGGAATTAACATCCATACTCTTGGCATTGTACATGATCCTGTTACCCTGGGATCCTGGCCCCCGTTCATTTCTGTCAAGTCTGTACAAAGCTTCACATCAGGCCCAGCACCCCACCTTCCTGGCTTCCTGGGCTCCTCACCCTGACCTCTCACAGAGGCTGGGCCAAGGTGAGGAGACAGAGGTGAGGGGGGGGGCCTCTTCTCATGCCTGGCTGTGGGAGAAGGAGACAGAGGTAGGACAGCGTCCTCCCCAAACCCCAGGATCACTCTGCAGTTCCCAGAGTCTCACCCTCAGGAAGCCCTCTTCCTCAAGGGAGCCCTCCCGGATTTCTGCCTTTTCAAAATCTGCCAAATTCCCTCCTCCCAGGGCAGACATGAATTCAAATGTTTTATTTGCATCATTTAAGTTCTCCTTTAATTGTTCTCAGTTCTCTGCACCTCAAATGTCCCAGTACCCGTGGCACACCACCCTCCTCCCTCAGAAGACCTCAGTCCGAGGCGGGAGACAGAGCCCAGCACCAGAAACTTCCATCTGCGGGAGGAGGCAGGTCACACACAAATACCGCAAGGCTTAAGGAAGGAATACGGGGGGGCTCATGGAGCACCAGGCCCAAGCTCGGTGGGTAGAGAGCGTCCCCTCCTCCCAGACTGGGCTCCGGGGCTCCTGGCCTGCGGCCCCCCCGGCTCGGCGGGCAAGCCGAGCGGGGGGGCTGCGGGAGCCGGCGGTGGGGCTGCGGGCCCGTGGGGGGCGCGGCAGCCCGGGGTTCCCCCGCGCGCACGGCGCGGCGCGGAGGCGGCTGCAGGTCAGGAGCACGTCCAACAGCAGCAGCTTGAAGAGCAGCAGCCGCAGCGCCCCCAGCCGCAGCGCCTGGCCCCGCACCCCTGCGGGAGGGAGACGAGCCGTCAGGGGCCCAGAGGCCGGCTTCAGCCCCTCCCGCCCGAGAAGGTTCCCCCGGGTGGAGGAGCCTTGTTCTCCCGGGAGGAGGGGCCTTGTCCTCCGCCCGCGCCGGTCCTCCTCCCCGCCGTGCCCCAGAGCCGGGGGAAGTCCTCCCTGGTGTCTAACCTCAGCTCTACCTGGTAGTAATAACACATAACTTCCTAGCCTTCATTTTATTACCCCCCAAACCAGGGGGGGTGCAGGCCAAGCAGGAATTATCATCTGACGCAGAGAGTAACCAGCCCCATATTCTCTGCGTGGTGAGGAAGTAGAACCCGACTAGGACTCTCTCTGTCCGGTGGGTGGTGGGACTGTCCACCACCCAGACAGTCTCCCAAGGCTCTGATGTTGACACCATCCATCTGGGCTGCCCAAGGAGAGCTTCATGGAACCTTCTGTTAGCTGTCACCTACACTTTTCAACTGGTGTCCAGGAATTAGTCTGGGGTCAGAGGATCCACTCTCATTTACGCATGGGTAGACTGAAGCCCAGGCTTGTCAGTGCCCAACCCAGCAAGGCAGCCTCTTCAGGGAACACCCACCAAGCCCCCCCCAAAACACACACAACAGTGGGACCATCAGGCCAGACCCAAACAGGGCTCAAGATCCCGGTCCCCAATACTCACCCCTGAGACGCTCCCAGAGGCAGGTCCTGGCTGAGGAAACCTCTCCTGCAGCCAAGAAGAAGGGAATGAGTCGGGATGGGCTCTGTGCTCCACCCAAGCTCTGCGCCCCAGGCCTGGCACAGGGCAGCTGTGCATGGCAAGTTGCATAAACGGACAAACGAACCAGCAGCAGGAAACATGAGCCCATTTGCTACAATTCCTCTCAGGGACTCAGATCTTTCTCAGTCCCCACTGTCCACTACTCTGTGCCCCCGGGGGAGGCTGAGGTCTCTCGGCACTTTTAGACGAGGACTTGGATTTTCTTAGCAGCCTTCTTTGAAAGACAGGGCATTTACTCAACAAACATTCCCATTTGGAAGATGCCAAAACTACCATAATCCAGAAACAGGAAGTCATCTAGTAATAATAATAGCTGGCTTTGGACGTGTCCCCTAAACATCTCTGTGCCTGTAAATTTGGGGAAATAATATGACCTACTTCTTGAATGTAAGGTGTCTCGAACAGTGCCTGGCACAGTGTGAACAATAAGTAGATGATAGCATTTTGTTATTTGTCATTTGGTTCTTCTAGGTAGGATGTCATAGATAGAGTGATATAGATATTAACCTTAGGTACATAAATCTAGATATCAACCCTAGGTAATAGGAGGGAGGTGGTATTATTACCTTTTGGAAGTCATGCATCAGAGCCTGGATTTGAAGGAGATATTTGTAGGCTGGATATTTGAAGGAGTTGCAAATCCAGGACTCAAGACCCTGAGGCCACCCTGCTCTGAGCCCAGGCATAACCTCATTCCGATGGTTGGCACAGGGACACCCTCCATGCCCCCACGGGAGCCTGCCCTGTCTCCCACCAGAGCCTGTTTCCAGAGTGTGTGGGAGGGGCAGGGAGCATCCACAGGGGCCCAGGCTCCATCCCCACCTGACAGCTGTAGGGGCCGTGTGCTCTGGCTGCGGTCGCCGGCCTCAGGCCCAGTGTGGCAGACCAAGTTTTCCCAGGCTGCCAGCTGATCAGAGGGCAGAGAGAGCTGAGCCAAGCTAGTCCAGGTGCCGTCAGCCTCTGGGGAAGGGCCGTAGGTGAAGGCGTCCAGTGAGCTGCCATTGCCCGCTGAGAACCAGATGGGGCTCTCAAGGCCAGGGGGTGCGACATCGAGGACCAGGCAGACCACCAGCGTCTGCTGCTTCCCATCCACCAGCAGCGTGATTGGTGGGGCCAGAGAGGGGAAGGGTGTGCCGCCCACACCTGTAAGAGAGCACGCACCTGTGGGAGGGCTAGATCTGTCCCTGCCAGCATCTCATAATAAGCTTCTATCCTTCCATCTGGGTTTGCTCCCTCTGTCCATCTATCTCTCCTTCCACCCACTCATCCATCCTCTCTCTTTGCATTTGCCCATCTATTCATCCATCCTTTCCCCAGCAACCGTCTTTCCGACATCTATTCTTTCTACCTTCCATCTGTATATCTGTCCATGCTTCCAGGCATCCATCCATCCCTCACCCATCTATCCTGTCTGAACCTATCTGTGCCAGGAACTGGGGATAAAACACTGATGAAGACTGCCCCTGCCCTCAAGGAACTCAGTCCCATGGGAAAGATAGCAGATGCATAAACAAATTCTTACACTACCTTGTTGTGCCAACCTCAGGAGGGTGGTTACCGCTGGGGAGGAAGGGAAGGAAATAAGATCTGGAATGAGATCAAAGAGGGCTTTGAATGTATCTGTAACTTTTTGTTTCTTTTATCTGATTCAAATATGGCAAAATTGAAACCATTTGTTAATCTGAGTGGAATATGAATAGATGTTTATTGCATCATTGTCAGTTCTTTTTTGTAGGTCTGTAGCATTTTTTTAAGATTTTATTTTATTTTATTAAGATTTTATTTCTTTATTTGACAGAGAGAGACAGCGAGAGAGGGAACACAAGCAGGGGGAGTGGGAGAGGGAGAAGCAGGCTTCCCGCTGGGCAGGGAACCCAATGCGGGGCTCCATCCCAGGACCCTGGGATCATGACCCGAGCCAAAGACAGATGCCCAACAACTGAGCCACCCAGGTGCCCCTTTAAGATTTTATTTTATTTTATTTTATGTTTTTAAAGATTTTATTTATTTATTTGAGAGAGAGAGAATGAGAGATAGAGAGCGCGAGAGGGAAGAGGGACAGAGGGAGAAGCAGACTCCCTGCTGAGCGGGGAGCCCGATGTGGGACTCGATCCCGGGACCCTGGGATCATGACCTGAGCCGAAGGCAGTCACCCAACCAACTGAGCCACCCAGGTGCCCTAAGATTTTATTTTTAAGTAATCTCTACACTCGGGGCTCCGAGTCTTTACTGAAAAGAATAAGATTGTGGAAAATCAGGACTATCCTGGAAAATACAGGGCAGATGTGATAATCACCCATGTGATTTATTTTTTTATTTTTTAAAAAGATTTATTTATTTATTTATTTATTTATTTATTTATTTATTTGACAGAGAGATAGAGAGCACAGTTGGTTAAGTGTCCCACACAGTTTTGGTTCAGGTCATGACACTGGGGTCATGAGATTGAGCCCGGGTCAGCTCTGAGCTCAGGGTGGAGTCCGCTTGAGGTTTTCTCTCCTTCTCCCTCTGCCCCTCCCCCCCAGTCTCTCAAATAAATAAATAAAATCTTCAAAAACAAAACCAAAAACAAAAATCCCACAGACAAATTCACACCTTGAGTTGAATGCAGCCAGGCTAAAGAAATACCCCAGGTGGGGCTCATAGGTGGCTCAGTTAGTTAAGTGGCTTCCTTCAGCTCAGGTCCTGATCTCAGGGTCCCGGGATGGAGCCCCAGTCGGGCTCCTTGCTCAGGAGGAGTCTGCTTCTCTGCATCTGCCCCCAGCTTGTGTCCTCCCTTGGTCTCTTTCTCTCTCAAATAAATAAATAAAATCTTAAAAAAAGAAAAGAAATACCCCGGGGTGCAGGAAAGGACACTAGAGGATCTTAAGGGGAGGTTGGAGGGGAGTGCTCAGGAAAGGTTTCTCGAAGGTCAAAGAACAGATCTAGAAGCATGTGGATGGTAAGTAGCCTACTCAGGATTTGAACTTGGGTCTCTGATTCCTGCTCTCATAGACCACCCCACTTGGAAGGATGACTAAAATTTTGCTACATGACACAGGGCATCAAGCCTGGGACATGGTCTCAGACTGAGCTCGTCGAATTCCTGACTTGTCCGCTTAATTTACTGAGTCTTAATTGCTGCATCAATATAATGAGGTTAATAACAGCAGTCCAGTAAAATTGTTGTGAAGAATAAAGATCATGAATGTCAAACGCCTTGGTAAATAAGTATTATTATCAATACTAATTTCAATAAGACATGGCAAACGAAGGGGATAGAGAAAGCTGAGAGGGAGCTCCAGGACCCTTGACCTCCTGAGCCTCTTCACTTGAGACAGATAGAGACACTCCCCAGGTTGAGTTTAGCATGTGCCTCCTCCATGAAGCTGCCCAGGATTGCTCCTCCTCACCCTGGCTGCTTCCTCCTCAGAGCTCGGACCTCTTGCCATGAGCTCTCCCTGCCCCACATGGGTGTGGTTTGTCTCCCTAGCAAGGGAGAGCTTGTGACAATACTGGGGGCCAGCTTTAGATCAAAAAGATGACCTTCCCCCACCACCTATGTGCAAACATGCACATGCTTCTAGATGGAGCTGGAATTCCCTCCTCTAAACACAAGTCCTGTGACTCCATCCTTGATCCTTGAAGGACTGAGGGTAATACCCTTGGGAGGTCATGGGGACCTTGCGGCCTCCCCCGAAGGGGAGCAGGGGGTGAACATGAGGCATCCTGAGCCCTGTTGGAAGAGGGCAATCTGAGGGCAGGAGGCCAGGACAGGAAGGACAGGAGAGGACCTCACGGTGCTGCGGTGTCCCCGCTTGGGCTACCCCATCTCCACCCTCTCCGGACGTCCATCGGCTTGCTCTTAGTTCTCTGTACCTCCAAGACGTGACTGCCCTACCTACCAACACTGCAGCCTCCAGGGAGCGGGACTCGGGGCCCCAGCGTGACGGAGCTGGAAGGCAGATACGATGGGGAAGCGAATGGGGGGCTTTTGGGGAGATCCTCCCCAGGGACCCCAAAGGGCTCTCTCCTGCCTTCCCCGCATCCCACCCCTACCCAGAGAGGACCAGAGCTAGCGAGTGGGCTTGGGCCAACTAATGGGGCACAGAGCGGGAGGCAGGGAGGGGGACTCACCTGTGGGCAGGGCTGGACACCCGAGGGCCAGGAGAAGGAGAAGCCAAGTCCTGGCCATGGCCCTCCTGCGAGGAGGCAGGAGCCAGCTGCAGACCTGAGGTGTGGGCTGCGGGAGGAGGCACCCGCAAAACTGCCTCCCGGGCCACAGGCCCAGCTGCAGCTCAGCTGCTCCACCACGGAGCCGGAGCCGTTTCCCCCGCTGAGGAGCCCCTCCCGCCTCCACCCTGGCCCTCAAACCCCGACCTCTCAGGGGCCGGGGGACTCAGGGTGCCACTCCCACTCCCTACTGCCTCCTGTTGGAAGAGCGGCCCGGTGGGCCGAGCCTTCCCCCGGTCGCTGGCTCTGCCATCTACAGGCTACAGGGCACCAGGCCGGACGGGAAGCCGTGCATTTAGCCGGTCCTCCCGTCCACCCACCTGCTGTAGGCCCCAAGTCACGGGTGAGGCAACTGAGGCTCAGAGAGATTGAGTGACCTGCTCAAGGCCACACAGCTGGCAGTGGCAGTCAGGGCCGGAACCATCTCCTGATGGCCGGCCTTCTGATAGTCGAAAAGCCCAGCACACTTATTTCCCCGTTGTTAGAACACCCCGCACCCACACGTTTAAAAACAGAATTTCATTCATTCTTTCTTTCTTTTTATTTTATTTTTTTATTTTTTAAGATTTTATTTATTTATTTGACAGAGAGAGAGAGATAGCGAGAGCAGGAACACAAGCAGGGGGAGTGGGAGAGGGAGAGCAGGCTTCCCGCCGAGCAGGGAGCCCGATGTGGGACTCGATCCCAGGACCGTGGGATCATGACCTGAGCCGAAGGCAGACGCTTAACGACTGAGCCACCCAGGCGCCCCTCTTTCTTTTTTTTTTTTTTAGATTTTATTTATTTATTTGTCAGAGAGAGCACAAGCAGGGAAAGCTGCAAGCAGAGCGGGCAGGGGGAGAAGCAGGCTTCTCGCGGAGCAGGGAGCCCGATGCGGGGCTCGATCCCAGGATCCTGGGATCGTGACCTGAGGCGAAGGCAGACGCCTAACGACTGAGCCACCCGGTGCCCCTCATTCTTATTTCCTTAAAAAATATTGCCTTGTGATTTTTATGGGTTTGTTTCTCGCTTAACTTAAAACATTTTTTTCCAGTTGTGGTAAAGTACACATAACAGGAAACTTACCATTCTAACCATTTTTAAGTGTACAGTTTAGTGGTAGTAACTACTTTCACATTGTTGTGAGAACATCACCACCATCCATCTCTAGAATTATTTTCATCTTGCAAAACTGAAACTCTGTCCGCATTAGACTCTAACTCTCCATTCTCTCTCCCCCAAGCCCGTGGCAACCACCTTTTCTGCTTCTGTGAATTTGACTACCTCGGTAAAGTGGAATCATAGAGAATTTGTCTTTTTGTGCCTGGCTTGTTTCACATAGCATAATGTCATCAACCATGTGGCAAGTGTCAGAATTTCCTTCCTTTTTTAAGGGTCGAATAATATTCCATTGTATGTATATACTAATGTAGGAAGAGACGTTAGGGTTCGAAGCTGTTGGCCAAAAAAGAATTCTTGAGACGTCTTTGGTGCAAAAAAGTGCTTTTATGAAAGCATGGGGACAGGAGCCCTGGGCAGAAAGAGCCACACTGGGGTCATGAGGAGTAGCCCATTATATGCTTTCAGGTTGGGAGGGGGTGAGGGATAGTGTTAAGTCTCTAAGGAATTTGGAAGCAAGGTTTCCAGGACCTTGAGGGGGCTAGCTATTGTTGGGAAAGGGTCATTTATTACCATCTAATAAAACCTTAGTCATGGGATCCTTCAGATGTATATCAATGGGCCATGTGCTTGGGGGTTGACTGCCAAAACATATCTTGGGGGTTTAGAGATAAAGGAAATTTCTAAAGGAACTTTTGTATGTTAAAGTAACCATTGGAGGCAGTTGAGTCCCTAGAGGAATGTCACTCTGCCTGTTTCAAAGACTTGTCAATGGGCGGTAGGTAGTAAGGAAATTTAATAATTTCTCTTCTGCCTTTGTTCCCCACATCCTATAACACATTTTGCTTCTTATCCATTATATCTCAATGGTGATTTCTCAGTAGTTGCTTCCATGTTTTAGCTATTGTCAATAATGCTGTTGTGAACATGGGTGTACAGATATCTCTTCAAGACTCTGCTTTCAATTCTTTTTTTACATACACCTAGAAGTGGAATTGCTAGATCATATAGTAACTTTGTTTTCAATTTTTTTTAAAGATTTTATTTATTTATTCATGAGAGACAGAGAGAGAGAGAGAGAGAGAGGCAGAGGGAGAAGCAGGCTCCCAAGGAGCAGGGAGCCCGATGTGGGACTCGATCCTAGGACCCTGGGATCATGACCTGAGCCCAAGGCAGACGCTTAACCATCTGAGCCACCCAGGCGCCCTGTTTTCAATTTTTTGAGGAACTGTCATACTGTTTTCCAGAGCAGCTGGACCATTTTGTATTCCTACAACAGTGTACAGGGGTTCCAATTTCTCTACATCCTTGCCAACATTTGTGATTTTTTTTTAAATAGTGGCCATCCCAGTGGTGTAAATTGTTATCTCATTGTGACTTCAATCTGCATTTCCTTAATGATTAGTAATGTTGAGCATCTAAGGCTCCCTGATATACATCTGCTACACTAATTTTTTTTAAAGATTTTATTTATTTATTTGACAGAGAGAGACACAGCGAGAGAGGGAACACAAGCAGGGGGAGTGGGAGAGGGAGAAGCAGGCTTCCCGCCGAGCAGGGAGCCCGATGGGGGACTCGACATGGGGGACTCGACCCTGGGGCCCTGGGATCATGACCCGAGCCAAAGGCAGACGCCCAACCACTGAGCCACCCAGGCGCCCCCGTTATACTAATTTATATTCTACTGCAGTGTATGAAAGGCATCCCCACCAGCATTTGGCATTCCTTAAAAAAACAAAACAAAAATCCTAATTTAATCAGTTAAAAATGGTATCTCATTTCTCTGATCACAACATTCTTTTCTCATTCCTTGTTTCCTTCATTGCATTGTTTATTGCCCTCTTGCAGTCCTAGTGTTTTACTAATTTTGTAAGCGCTTTCACATAGCAACCATACCAATCCTTGTATATTGCCCTTGCCAAAGCCATTCCTAATTCATTGGCTACTTTTAATTTCACTTTTTTTCTTAACTGACAGTTTTCTGTTTTGTATGAACCAACCCCTCCATCGTTTTAATGGGAATTACCTCATCCCTTTTAAGTCTAGAAAAGTCCTCCCCCCTCTAGAGAACTGATACATTCTACTGTCTTTTTGTGCGTGTGAAGTTTAATCCCCACGCCCCCACCACCGTTATAACTCTGTCAGGGATTAATTTTGGTGTAGGATACAAGATATGCATCTAAATTTCAGTCCCCCCCAAAGATCTAATTGATGATCTCCCGATTATTAATTGAATAATCCTTCCTGTCCCTATTATTTGTGAAACATTCTCTGTGTTAATCTCTTTTATGTTGGCGGGTTTATTTCTTCCCGGCTCCCCGACTTCTTTATTCTGGTGCCAGCCTCACCCCATTTCCGTCGGGACGGTTGCTTTAATAGTGTGTCGATTGCACCGTCGGACGCGGGGAGGGAGCCCCGGCGGCGCGGGCCGCGCTCCCTCCCCTTCCCTCCCGGCCGCCTGGAGGCCTGGGGCGCCAAGTGTTCCCAGGCGCAGCGGGCGCCCAGGTGCGCTCGGTCTGCGCGGGCTCCCGCCGGGAGGGGGCAGGGGAGGCAGGTGTCCCTAACGACTCTCGCGCCCTCCAGCCTGGGGAGGCGCTGGCCGGGGCCCCGTTACCACATTACAAATTGGGAAGGAGCCCTCTGACCCCCTTAGGGTTTTAAGACCTTCTCAGGGATGGGGAGGCAGAAGACCCCGGTGCCAGGCGCCTCCCCTGCCCGCCGCCGGCTGGGGCCATCTCCTGCTGCTCACCTACCCTCCCACTGGCCGCCTCCCCGCCCCCCGCAAAGGTCGGCTTTGCAAGCTTTCCTTGCTCGCTCTCTCATAGGTCCCCTCCTTCCAGGAGCCCCAAGAATCTCCCTCTGAGGCCACAGTCTTGCTGATCCTAAAGATGCCCTTGCCCAGGGCGGTGAGGATGCCCCGACTCGCCGGCCTTGAATCTCAGGGCTGAAATCCTTCTCTGAGCTCCTCACTGGGATTAAACCTGCTGTTTGCTGACCCGCTGCTAAGAGCCAGGTCCCGTTCACAGACCTCTCATTTGATCCTCACAACATCCCGATCAGGTGTTCGCATCCCTGTTTACAGCTGGGGAAACTGAGACTCAGAAAAAGGAAGATAACAGGGCTGAAGATTCCCCTGCAGCAAGCGGTTGGAGCTGGGAGTTCACTACAGGGAGGACGTGTTTACAGGTCTCTCTCCAGGGTTCTTTTTCCGAGGCTGTCCAATTGGAGTACCCATCTGAGTGCCTGGCACACAGCAGATTATCCCTATCTCCCCCTTTTTTGGTCAAATGCACAGAGAGAAAACCAAGGGCCCTTCTAAACTGAGATGAGCCACATAGGATGTGAAAAAGAGAATTAAGAAAAAGTAGCGGTGCTTATTGGAAAAAGACCATTGTTATAACCAAGCGATTACTGATTGTGAATCTGACCCATCCATCCAGTGAGAAGATTGCAACAAGAAGGGCAGATCAGTATGTGTGTGTGTGCTGAAGCAGCAAGTAGAGGTCTCTTCCAGTTACTACTGCCAGGGCCACCTATTTCACTGATCAGATAAAAATCCTACCATGAGGGGCGCCTGAGTGGCTCAGTTGGTTAAGCGACTGCCTTCGGCTCGGGTCATGATCCTGGAGTCCTGGGATCAAGTCCCATGTCGGGCTCCCTGCTCTGTGGGGAGTCTGCTTCTCCCTCTGACCCTCTTCCCTCTCGTGCTCTCTATCTCTCATTCTCTCTCTCTCAAATAAATAAATAAAAATCTTTAAAAAAAAAAATCCTACCATGAGAGTTATAATACAGAATAAAAATCACCTGAATGTTCAGTAACAAGGAAGTAGCTAGGGGCGCCTGGGTGGCTCGGTCAGCTAACTA